CGTGTTTTAACACTTTTGTCATTTTATCCCCGTTGACAAGTCTGGGTTGGGCTTGCATAGGCTGACCCTTTGGCTTTTTTGTTTGGTTTTGTTTGTGTTTCTTTGTTTTGTCCAATAATTAAGACAGTCTTATCTATCACGAAATAGGAATGTGATTATGGTTTTTATGGAGTCTTGTGTATTTTAATCAGATAATTCATATTTCATTAGAAATGATAAAGAAGATTTAAAAAATGTATGGCACTTAGTTGATGTAACATACAAATTAAAGAGTGAATTGAGAAGACCAAATATTTAATACAATATGAATCAGAATGTGGTAGCAAGCCAAGGAGACAAAGTTTCTGCTGAGGCTTCAGGAATGTAAAGGAATCATAAGGTGATTGGGTGCTTGAGATTGAAACAATGTAAGAACATCCCCCTCCTCTGCCCCTCCCCCCTCCAACACACCCGGACTCTGTGGTATGTATGGAACAGCTTGCTGATCATAGTCATGGAAGCCCATTAGTTTATGATAGCGTATCCGGATAACCTTTACAGAGATAGAGTAAAATATAACTAGCATCCTGAGTACACCTGTAGTGATCTAATAGCTCCCACCGCACCGTTTCCTGGGTGTTGACTCCCCCTAACTTTGTAGAAAATGTATAAAAGGCACTGCCCTGCTGCACTCGGGGCTCAGCCTTTGGAAAGGAATCCGCCGAGCCAGCACCGGAACTAATAAATGCTGCTGCCCATCGCGGTGTCCTGACTCCTTGCTGTAGTTCCAGTGGTTACTGCAACAGAAAATCCAAACTACAGTCTTTTTCTGTTTTTCCGTCCTTGTTTACTTGTTTATCTTATAAGCTTTCCAAGCCATTTGCAGTTGCAATGGTGTAGCACGCTGTAACATATAGTGAAACAGAATTCTTTTTTTTTGGGAATGAGTCTGGTGGAGAAAAGGTGGAGTATGGAGGGATCCAACTAGTGAGTTACTATTATTTTAAAATATAGTTGTAGTAAAAGGATGGGCTTGCATGTTTATGTAGATATGATATGGTATTAATTCAATTTATGCATGTGATAAATTATTTATTCATAAAAATTTCCTTAGATAGGAAATGGAATCAACATTAAATAAGTGAATATAATACAACATTGCCTAAGATAAAGATAGGAGGGAGTGCATTCTAGAATGAGCAGAGTCCGGGAAGGAGGGCATCGTCGGCAGCACAGGAGCTCTGCTCTACAAGAGAAGAATGAAAGAATTGAAAGAAGATCAACTTTCCAGAGTGATAATTAGATCAGACAAAAGTGACTAAACTACATTTAGGAAAAACAAACAAACACAATCTTGTGTTGTTGGAAGCTTGGGAATTGAAAGCCTGAACCTGGGGTGTAATCTGTTCTCTCCTGAATATAAACTGGGGGCTCTTGGGCAAGTCATGGAAACATATGGACATAAGTAAGGTTGTGAGAATTAAATTAAATATGTGGCAAACAAATGAGAGCTAAATAAATTATCATGCGTTAGGTTAGTGGGAACTGCAGCAGGGTGATGCTGAGTGAAAAGATAGGACCAGACTTTGAGCCGTTTACCGTCGTTATTCCACCAGTATGTATCAGAAGACTTCTTTGGAACCAGCATTATATTGTGAAATGCTGATTGCACTCGGTGGTCAAACCCCTGACTCTCCAACCTATTCTCTACCTTTTTGTGTTCTGCTGAGAAACATTGCTTAAATATACTATCTGTCAGAATAGAGCAGTAGGACATCATTACGTAGGTGGTAGGGACACTGAACAAAGATTTGTAATGAGCTTTAGGAGACAGACATCTGTTACCGCCTAACTGTCATCACCCAATTTCTTATTCTTTATTCAAGGATATTAATATTTGACACCTCTCTAGCATTACTCTGAGGTAACTGAGATTGCCTCGTGAATACTTGTGAGCATCTTTAGGAGTGCAAGGCTATATAAATACAAGTTTTATTCCATTACTCACTCCAACATGTCCCATGGAATTTACTAGTGCAATTATAATTCAAAGCAGTAGGATAGGATTTGAATCACTGGACAAATCCATACTAACTTTATTCTGTGTGGTATATTTAATATAAAATTTTACTAAATTCTTTGAAATTTGCCCCCTTAAGGGGTTAGGTTAAAAAGCCTTAGAAAATTGAAATTTTATAATAATGGCAATTCTAGCTTTCCACTTAATTACACTATCTTATCCCAGAACAGTAGATGACTTTACATAATATGAATTCAATACTTGCCTGCATCATGCAGGTGCATGCTTTTAGACTGGATCCTAACAAGCTCATGTCTCAGCCGTTATCTCCAGGACTATATTTTTTTGGTCTAAATTTCAAATGTAAATTGATTGTTAATGAAAAATTGCATAATGATGGTTACCACTTAGAATTTTGAAAACTTACTTTTAAAAAAGAGAAAATATAGTTTTGAATGGAAGGGTCATTCATCTGTCACAAAGCATGTAGCTTCTCCAGCAGAGTCTCAGACACTGTCACCTAGTCAAACATGTGAACATTTGCAGTAAAGCAAAAAATATTCATATAAAGCGGGATAAATAGAGACTTGAAGTGGCCTCCATCTGTTAAGTTCCAGTTCTTCTGCCAAATGAACTCGAAGCCAAACTTTTGGTTTTCAGACCTTTTTGGATTTTGGACTTGTAAATGTGAGATTTTTAGATCTTTATTAAAGCCTAAATACTTAATAAATCAGGACAAACTAATAGTCTATAAACAGAAGCACTGTATCCTGGCATTTAAGAGCCATAGTTTTTGGTAGCATCAAATGCTTGAGGTCAAACTCTTTGGCAAGTTATTTATTCTCCATGCCCCCTCAGTTTCGTCTTCCTCAAAATGAGGATAATAATAGAACCTACATCATAGGTTGTTATGAAGTATATATATATATTTATTTAATTTTAATAGAACCCTTAGAACAGTATCTGGCATATAGTAAGTGCTATTTAAATACTATTTCATGATTTCATCTACTTCATTTAAATTAGGATCCAAAAAGGACAAGTTTACCATGATTTCAGTTTCATTCTCTGTAAACAAGAGTTGTGACTAGTTTTAATACTCAAATGTGCACTTCCGGTTATTAGACTTCTGGTTTGTAGGTATTTCCTACCCTTATGCTTTCCCCTTGCACATCAATCAGCAAAATGGGTCAGTGGGAAATAGAGACAAAGGAGAGCCGTTCGTAGGAGTCTGTACACGATTGGCAGCCAGTTCAGAAAGAAAAGAGGTTTAAATTATGAACCAAAATAGAATCCTAAAAATGGGTTATCTTCCTTATTTAGGGAAAAAGTTGTTAATGGCCTACCTGGGAATGGACCTTCTCTTAGGACCACGATAGTGATATTTTAAGAAAACAAAACTTCAGGGGCCTTGTGAGGTCGTGTCAGCATGAACCAGGCAGCCTGGGAGCACCCCCTTTCCTAGCTCCACAAGACACAAATGGCCCCAGCTGTAGTAGCTTCTGTTTTTCTCTTTGCTGGCTTAGGTGTCTAAGGTATAGGTGGGAATTAGCTCTTTACTCTCCCTAAACCACCTCCTGCTATCTCTGGGGAAAATAACCCAGAGATCATTCTGGAGGCTGAAGGTAAGGAATTGTGCATTCCTTTATCATCATGAGCTTCCTGGCAGACCGGGACACAGAGGTCCAGCAGCCTCGGTTCCCATGGTCACTGCCGATGGTCATGACCCTCCTCTCTCTTCCTTAAACTTAACCCTTTCTCCAGGTTAGCATCCCAAGTTTATATATTGATAGCAGGGTTGACAAGACTTCAGTGAACCTCCTAAAGATATTTTTGTACTTTGATCCAATTTTTGAGCCTCGTGAATTAATTTACACAACTTACACGTTTTCTGTCTTAAAATTTTAGCAATGAAACGGGTCATTGGAAACATTTAAAAAACAATACCGTAGCCTGTAATTGTGAGACACCTTGCACACAATGTTTTACAGTAGAATTTTTGTAATCCTGCCCTATGTTTCCCTAGATAGCTGAGATTTTGAGAAACCAATTCTGAGAAACATCTTCATCAAATATCGTATCACCAAAACTTAGCCCTTTGGGTAGGTAGTTCCATTAGGAAGCCCTTGGTACCCAGTAGATTTAGGCTGTATCAGATAATACACTATTTTACAAAGCCTGGTTATATGATAGTATGCCTGACACTTACTGTCCTGAATTATTCAACATTCCGTTATATTCCCAAGAAGAAAAGTTTTCTGAGTTTGTTTGGTAGGAAGGTTGTTAAAGAGGGAAATATATTTCCCTCTCAGTTTTAAATAAGAACAGACTGAGGTCTTTGGGAGGCTTCATGCTACATACACCATGGGTAAGGAGGCTGTAATAAATAATCTATACGAATTAATGAAAATGCTTTTTTTTGTTTTAAAAACAGAAATATTTCATTTGTGAAGAGGAGAAAAAAAACCTTTACTGGGGAAGGCATTTTAGAAATAATCTTTCTTGTGAAACAGTTTGTTTTATTTACTTGACCTTTAAAATGTCATAAATACAGTCCTTATGTGCCAGCAAGTCCTCGGTCCTCCCCCCTATTTTCTTCCCTCAGCTGTGCTAAATCTCATCACTGACCCCACCTGGATATCTGGAAGTTTCTATAACATATTCTTAATTCCTGTATGAACCTTCTGTGTTTTGGTATTTGATACATACTAGTAATCACTTTACAACCTTCATGTTTTAAAACATTTTTGGATAGCCTTTCCATTTAGGATCCAGGAATTTGTATAAAAACCACAGAGGTTATATTGCTTTTGAACTAAAGGCTGTTGGTTTGTGGAATTTCCTTCAACTGAAAACATGTATGAGTCTGTGGTTTTAGTGTTTCCCCAGTTTCATAATATCCTGCTTGTTTGTTTTCATTTTTGAAGCTGGAGAATTTACCATTAATTTCCATATTCTTTAAAGGGCTAACTTTTTCGTTCCTTTTTTTTTTTTTTCCCAGTTGAAAGAGACAAGGATTTTTCCCACCAGCGAAGGCATTACAAAGAATTCCGGTTTGATCTTACTCAAATTCCTCATGGAGAAGCAGTGACAGCAGCTGAATTCCGGATATACAAGGACCAGAGCAACAGTCGATTTGAAAATGAAACAATTAAGATTAGCATATATCAGATCATCAAGGAATACGCAAATAGGTATTGACTTTATATATAACTTCTTACCCTAGCCAGCAAACATTAATTGTAGTGAAATCCATTGATAACCCATGTGATTACCAAATTGTGTTTTCTTGGGGGTGTAATGACATTCAAGGCCATATAGACCCACTGAAAGTGAGAGAAATTGATCTGAAAAGTGCCTCCCACATTCCACAGCCTTTTTTACTCCTGAAACCAATCTGTGTACTAAATGGTCTCACACTTCCCCACAGGTGTTTTCTAGGACCCTTGTCTCATTTTGTAAATGAAAAACCTTCCATTTTATTCTGCACACATGAAATTTGCAGTTAAGATGACTTAAATCATTTGGTGCTTTGTAAGGCAGAGAAGACCAGCTTTATTTTTCACTGGCATTAGTGTAAATTGTATGTGTATTATGATATGTATTTTGATGTAAGATAATTGTATTTGCAACAGGTTCTGTGACATTTAACAGGTAAGTCTGCTGTCTATAAAATGCTTAATACAAAGTGGTACAAAAATGGACAGATCATTTGCAATAACTAAATGTATGAAAACCTCAGGTCATAGTTATTTCAAATAAACCATCAAATAGAAGAGTTACAAGGGGAGCATAGCCAAGGTCTTTGGCCTCTTACCCAAGGAAGAAATTGCTTAGATAACACCTTTTATAGGTGATGAGTCTCCTTTGTTGAACAGTTTTCACATTAAAAAAAAAAACTCTTATTGAAATGTTATATTGAGGTAAAATCTGTCTCTGGAAGCTTCCACTTATTAAATCTAGATCTTCCCTTTGGTAGATCTATGAAATACTGCTTTTCTTCGATGACACAAGTGTTTAAAGATAGTTGTCACATCCCCTCTAAAGCCCCTTTCTCTCCTTGTTGAATATTTCTAGTTGCTCATGTTAAGGTTTTTCCTGGTCTTTTGGAGTGCCAGAGTTTCCCAACTGGTGTTCCTTCACAATACTCAGTGAAGAAAAAGAATAAAGAAAATGCTTC